GTTCGAGAGGTAAGAACAAAGTTAAACCTTCTGGGCAGCAACAACAGATATATCCGGAAATGAAATAGCCGACAGTCTAGCAAAATACAAAAGACACACAATAAAAGATTACCTAAGAAAGGAAGGTACATATGAGGCAAACCTACTGGGATAACACCACAGGCCAAAGACAAGCCAAAACCCTCATTGTCAATTATGACATGAAGATTTTCTGATGAGAAATAACGATGTTATCATTTTATTTCCGTTAATTCTATAGATTCTATAGATTTTTCGATCTTTCCTATGGCAGCTATATGATATAGTTGTCCGATTTTTTTGAGATTTTTTTTATAAATCAAGGCTAGTTAAAAAACTTGATACTCAAAAAATTCATAGACGTGTGATAAAAAAGAATGACGTTAGCAATTAATTTCCATTAATTCTATATATATTTTTTGATCTCTCCTATGGCAGCTATATGATAGAGTTATCCGATTTCGATAAAATTTAAACCGAAATTCAATAGTAGTTAGAAAACGTCATCTGGAAGAAATCAAGTCGATCTGATCAAAAACAATTGAGTGAGAATTTTTTTTTTTCAAGTCGGCTCGTTCCGACTTATATATTGCGTGCAATAACTACACAACTTTTCGGAAAGTTTCAGCACGATAGCTTCAAAACTGAGAGACCAGTTTACATAGAAACAGACAGACGGACCAACGGACAGACGCACAGACGAATTTCGATTCAGATCGTGATGCTGATCAAGAATATATATACTTTATAGGGTCTGAGGTGTCTCCTTCACTGCGTTGCAAACTTCTGACTGAAATTATAATACCCTTTGCTCTGCAAGGGTATAAAAATAAAAAGAATATTATAACTAGGTATAAATTTGTATTAGTACTATTTACATTTATTTCCATGATTCAATTATTTTCAATAATAATTTACTATAAAAGCTGAATAACAAATTCGTAAATAAAAAAATAATGTAATTAAAGTTGATATTATCATAATTGTTAATTAAATATATTGATTACATAAATGTTAATTGTTGGATTACAATTCATTTAGGTAAAAATCCTAAATATGGAGGTAAACCACCTTAAGATAAAAATCGTCTTCTCGCTCAAGTAAGCATGCATAGGCACTTGCTTGTTCTTACACACGCAACCGCATTATATTTTTAGATTTTTACTTTGTATGAACGCGCTGAGAGCGAGAGAGGATAGAAGAGGATAGAGAGATCGTTCGTCAGCGGTTAGAGAGGGATGGGGATCCTCGCTTTTTCGTGACGGTCATGAATCGTTTTTACTCCGTCCCCGAAATCCATAACGCGCCTAAAGAAGTTTCACTTCAATAAAAAAACAATGTAAAAAAAAAAATTTTAAAAACCTCGTGACGCTATTTTTTTTTTTTTTTGGCTTTTTTGTTCCCTCTCCCCTATGTGACGCATCACATATAGGGGAATGTCGTCAAGGTTGGACAGTTGTCAGGGTCGGACACTTGCAATTTTTCTGATAAACCAACTATCGCCATCTGTGTGCGAATGTGGTATTAATTGTTTCCACTGTGGGAAACTTTTCATTCCAAGCCGCATCCCAGAACTGTTAATTTTCCTGTTTTGTTGATATAGTGTCGTGATAGTGACGAAAAAAGTATCGGAGAACGCGCAAAAAAAGTGGCATAATTCAGCGGAAAATATGCCATCCGCAGGGTAAGTTTAAAAATACGTTAAGTGGTTCCCCCTTAACGAAATCCTAAAAAAAATTTGTTCTAAATAAAGCGATTTGGTGGTTATGTTGTGCGGTAGGGTTATGACTCATGTTGTCTGGGTTGGACACTTTTTGTTGTCAAGGTTGGACACCCTTGGTTTTTTCCCTTTTGTCAGAATATTTTAATTTTTCCAATGTTTTTGACAGACTTTTGCATAATATGCTTAAAAACAATGCCACGACACTTGAATCGCAACAACTCTGTTGCATGTAGAGAATGTAAAAGAGACATTCACCTCAAGTGTGCCAAAATGACAAAAAGTTATTTTGTTTGTCCTAATTGCGAATCTGATTAATTTTTTTTCATACTTGGTTGTAAAATTTGTTGTTTACAATAAAAAAGAGTCAAAAGACATAAAATATACCTGATCCATGGATAATGTCCTCTTTTATTGCTACTTTTCTGAAGTAGCAATTCAAGTGTCCAACCTTGACTACAGTGGCCAAGCCTGACTACATTTTTTTTTTTTAAATACTCGCCATTTCTATGTTTTTCATTTCACAACATAATGTTCATTGTCAGACATACCTTTTGCCTTTACCTTTCAAACTATTTACGCAAATGATCTTAATTCTTATTAAAACGATAATTATGGGCATGGGTCGAAAGTGTGTCCAACCCTGACGACATTCCCCTACAAATTACAACCTCCTCACAACAAAGCGTGACTCTCTGATGAACCCCCCCTCCCACCACCCTAGGAGCGTCACGAGGTTTATGGACGGCCCCTATTTACTTTGGATTCACTTTCATTTACTTAGAGAAGTTCAACTAAATAACACTTGATTTTTGCAATCGAAATGAATTCATTACTCTTGTGAAATGAAATAAAATTTTTCCTTTGCAAATATAAAACAAACAAAAATATTTCTTTATCTTTTAATCACCAAACGAAATTTTACATAAAACTGTTGCCATCTGGTGGCGAAACGGAGTTCGCCGGGTTTACTAACTATGAATAAATACAGTAAAAAAGTAAAAAGCTTCTTTGGACTGATTCTAAACGATCAGCCTGTGCTCCGTATTGAGGACTCCAAACGGGTGCCAATAAATCCAAGCACTCCCCTAGCTTTATTAACCATGTTCGAAATATGAAGTGAGAATTTAAGTTCAGGGTTCAAGAAGACGTCAAGATCGTCAAAAAGTGTTATTCTTTTCAAGGTATTCCCACATAGCGAATAAGTGAAATTATGCGGATTGACCCGACGAAACGTCAGCAGCTTGCACTTAAAGCTATTTAAATACAGTAAACCTATCGTGACACCAGTTTTGAAAATTTCTTAGGTCTGCTTGAAGGTTTAAATGACGGAAGTATTCATCATATTGCAGACACCGTTTTACATCATCCGCGTATACAAGTACGCAGCAATGCGCAATGACCAATGTAAGATCAATAAAGAACAGGGTAAAAAGTAATGGTAAGGAATTTTTGAAAAGCAATCTTTGTGTGCGGTCACTAAGATAACAAAGATCCAACTTAAAAGATCAGCTGGAAACCCTTTCATGTTAAGTTTGCGAATCAATAGGAAGTGATTTACAGAGCCCAGTGCTTTATTGAATTCTGTGTAAATGACATCAGCTTAAAAATGATTTTTAAAGCCATTTATCACAAAGGTGAGCTCTAAAAGATTCGTTGTAATAGACCTGCGCTTCAGAAATCCGTGTTGGCATGGAGATATGACTGATCTACAAAGGTACTGAGGAGCTATTGCTCGCTCAAAAAGCTTTGGAATGGTGCCAATTTAGAAATACCTCTATAATAGCTAGCATCCCACTTGTTTCCCTTTATATGAAGGGGAATAACAAATGACTCCTTCCAAGCAAGGGGAAACTGACAAGTTGGGTGGGATAGGGTAAGCAGCTTGAGAAGGGATTTACACAGAGCATTTGCACAGTTCTTAGGAACACACCCAGGAATCCTGTCAGGACCTAGGGAGTAAACTAGTAAAACACGTTGAAGATCCAAAAGTAGGGAGCTTTCGTTTAAAGTGTGACGAAATATTAAGTTCGACTTAGGATTGGCGCATAAATATTGCCCACTTGAATGGGACACTATGGAATAAGTCGTTTCAAAAATTCTGCAGATCGGCTTTTTCCTACCTTTAGCATTTTCTTGTTTTTTTTTTTTTTTTTTGCTGATAAGCTAATGGGAGCTGCTGTTGACGATTTGCATTACGGATTTTCTATTAAAGTATTATCTACATGTATCTATGTATATACTTAATCAATCTACTTCCGCAGCGGGGTTTTTTTTTTGGGAATTTTTCTTTCCCATTTATAACGAACGTAAAATAAATGTTAAAATATTTTTTTGAGCTATCTAAAAATGATAGGGATTATAATGGATAAAGTTTTGGAAAAATGCATCGCTTCAAGGCTTCAAGGCTATCAAAGTAGAATTTTGTTATAGTTTTTTTTTTTGGGAAATTTATCTTAACAATCCACATGATCAGCATCACGATCTGAATTAAAATACGTCTATACGGCTTTCTGTCCGTCTGAATGCTGGAAATGCTGAAACTTTCACAAAAGTTGTGTAGTTATTGCACGCAGTATATAAGTCGGAACGGGCCGGATCGGGCGACTATATCGGATAGATCGAAAAACAAAATTATCACGCCGTTGTTTTTGATGATATCGACTTAATTTCTTCCAGATGATGTTTTAACTATTATCGAATTTCGAATTAGAACATAGCTGCCATAATAAAAATCGAAAAATATATATAATGAATAATGAAAAATCATTACAACGTCATTGTTTTTTATCCCACGACCATGATGTTTAGGACATCGAGTTTTTTAAATACCCTCAAATCAAGATAAAAATCGGACAACTATATCATAGAAATTAACGAAAATTAACAAAAAAAATAATAACGTCCTTGTTTTTCATAAGAAAAACAAATTTTTTTAAATATAGAGTTCTCCAACGACTCTTGAATTTCGAATTCAATTTCATAAAAATCGGACAAATATATCATATAGCTTTCATATGGACAATCGTCGAATATATAGAAACTCAATAGAAAAATCGTCTCAGCTTCGATGTTTTTAGCCTTTCTGTATTTTGTTCGACATATTTGATTAATTTCCTTTTTTCCATGTGTTATGGTTTTAGTTGTGTTGGTGTTCGGTTTTTTATTAAGCAAATTTAGGTATACGCAAAAACAAATAATAGGCTTTGAAATTATGTTTCCATCTTTTTTTCTTGTTGGGCATAATCATTGAAGTAAATACCTTTTTCCATACCAAAGGGACAAAAAACAACCAGTATATCCATAAAACAAACAATATAAAAATGCATAAACTAAGAAGAAAATCCGGACTAAACGACTTCCAGTAATTTATAAGTTTGTTCATTAACAAAGTATTCATCTTGATCTGTAATGGCATTTAGTAGACTTATCAATTTTACTTCAAATGTATTTTTTTTCGAGACTTACTAATTTGAATTTATTCCTTAATGGAATTTAATAACCTTGCTAAGGCTGTGTGCCAAATAAATTAAAAAAACATTAACATTAAATTAAATTAAGCAAAAGAATTTATTGAAGACTACGAAATTCCACTTTTGATTGATTACTTCAATATCTCATCGAGACAACTGACTGATTAAAAAATACAAATAAGACAACACCCAAAGGCCTAATACCTCACATATGCACGTTAGGGTGGACCTCAGCAGTAAGCATAGCATAGGGTCACTCTCCTTTTACATTGGCTTTCTTTGGCTTTAAGAGGTATTAGCTATAAATATTTTTATGCTGTTATTATTTATAAAGTTGATATTATTTTGATATGTTTTTGGTAGTTTTTATTTTTTCCATAGTAATTTCGGTAATTATCACGTTATATTCAGACTATATTGGTTGCCCTGTTTATAACTATCAAATTTATAATATGAACTATAAGTACTTCGTGGATTACCAATAAATTTCCATTTCTTGCACTCCAGCTCATATATTTCTTAAGTCTGGAGGACTAATAGAAGAGAGCTTGCCGGTAAGTGAGCCGTATGGGTCGGTTATAAGCCCCCTTGGCGGCATTTTTGACTGTGTCTGAGAAATATTTTGCCGGTTATGCAGTGATGGATTACCGCCTAGAAGAAGCCATAAGCCTAGACATTTCGTTAAAAACAGGAGAGGAAATAGACTATGCTGTGGAGCTTTTCACAAATACAATTCACAAAGCGAGCTACATAAATACGAATCACACCCACAGAAACCAACAACCAAACCAATTGTACCTTTCCACTTAAATTCGAGAAAAGATTCAACACAAAAGGGACCTGAGAAAACGTTGGCAAGAAACGCACTATCCTCCTGATAGTTGTACAACAAAGCTGCATCTGAGCTTAAACAATTACTGACTAACTTGCGAAATTGGGTCTCCCTGTCAAATGAGCTTGCCTATTGAAAGAATTCACTTTGACGAAGTTGTGACAGAAATTAAATGCTTGAACAATAAAAAATCACCAGGCCCGGATAAGATAGACGGCATCACTCTTAAAACTCTACCACTGAAAGGCATATGAATTCTCACGCTTGTATTTAACGCTATTCTCAGGCTAGACCATTTCCCAAGTCAATGGAAATGTGCAGAAATCATTATGATCCTCAAGCCAAACAAGCCAGAAACTGAACTACTATCTTACCGTCCCATTAGTCTGTTGACAATATACTCGAAAGTATTTGAAACAAGAAAGGAAGCTAGCTTCGGCAAGCCGAAGCTTATATACCCTTGCAGTCATCAAATATGTCGAACAAAACTCATAAAGGCTAGACACCATCGAAGCTAAGACGATTTTTCTATTCATTTTCCATATTTTTGACTATAGATCATATGGGAGCTATACGATATAGTTGTCCGATTTTGATCAAATTTAATTCGTAATTCAAGAGTCGTAAGAAAACTCTATATTCCAAAAATCATACTTGTCTGATGAAAAACAACGATGTTATAATTTTATTTCCATTATTTCTATAAAGATTTTTCGATCTTTCCTATGGCAGTTATAAGATATAGATGACCGATTTTTATGAAACTTTTTCTCAATATAAACGTTGTTAAAAAACTTTATATTCAAAAAATCATGCTCGTGGGATAAAAAACAACGATGTTATCAATTTATTTCCATTAATTCTATATATAATTTTCGATCTCTCCTATGGCAGCTATATGATAGAGTTATCCGATTTTGATCAAATTTAATCCGAAATTCAATAACAGTTAGAAAACGCCATCTTGAAGAATTCAAGTCGATCTGATCAAAAACAACGGAGTAAGAATTTTTTATTTCATTCTCTCGTATGGGAGCTATCCGATATAGTCGGCCGATCCGGCCCGTTCCGACTTATATACTGCGTGCAATAACTACACACATTCTGGGAAAGTTTCAGCGAGATAGCTTTAAAACTGAGAGACTAGTTTAGGCAGAAACGGACAGACGGACAGACGTACAGACGAATTCCGATTCTACTCGTGATGCTGATCAAGAATATATATACTTTATGGGGTCTGAGGTGTCTCCTTCACTGCGTTGCAAACTTCTGGCCAAAATTATAATACCCTTTGCTCTGCAAGGGTATAAAAATACCTACTACTGAGGAGGATGTTGCCAATTTTGGACGAACTTGCCATCATTCCTGAATATCAATTCGGATTCAGGAAAGGCCACGGCACCACTGAGCAATGTCATAGGGTTATCAATGAAATTGTATCTGCACTTGAGAACAAAAAACATTGAACTGCTACGTTTCTTCATGTTCAACAAGCGTTTAATCGTGTTTGGCACCATGGATTACTCTACAAGATAAAGAAATGGCTACCTACCCCATACTATCTATTACTGAGATCCTACTTGTCTAAGAGAAGCTTCTACGTGCAGCAGAGAAATGAAACGTCAACACTAATTCTCATAAACGCAGGCGTTCCTCAAGGGAGTGTACTGGGACCAGTCCTTTACCCTCTATACACGGCAGATATGCCAGTAACAAACAACTGCACCATTGCAACATATGCTGACGATGCAGCCATTCTGGCAACGAGCTCATCTCGAGACGAAGCATCTCAACTCTTGCAATGTGAGCTCAATCTGATTGAAGCCTGGTTTCTTCGCTGGAAAATTAAAAATTAACTCCCTGAAGTCTGTCCAAATAACTTTTTCACTAAGACCAGGAAGCTGCCCAAATGTCACACTTTACGGCGCAACAATTCCACAAGATACCTGTGTGAAGTATCTTGGCATGCACCTCGACCGTAGACTAACATGAAAACCGCACATAAAAGCGAAATATCAACAACTCAAAATATAAACACTGAAAATGTCCTGGTTACTAAGTAGATTTAATTTAAGTAAACGATGAGTTATATTTAATATCAGGTTTCACTGGAAATCTGCAATGCCTTTTATGCAATTATTAGTCAAAAAATTTACTTATTATCACAAGACAGATTGTAAACAAAAATTAAGAAAAAAAAAATAAATCTTTTTGATCGTAAAAAATAAAATATTAAAAAAAAAAAAAGGGGTGTGTCCAGCCTACGCACGACAGAAGTGAAACTTCTAGTATTCCTCTCTCTCTCTTATCATTTCATTATCTCTTATTTTCTGTCTTAAGTTAGTTTGAAGATTAGAGGTTAAATAATTCAAGGACGAAGCATGTATTTTTGTATCTATATGTTCAATTTATTTACAACTAATACAATATTACATAAATAACAATATTATAATTAAAAATTACAAAGGAAATACATTGACAATTTATCTATCATGTGACATTTTCATTATCAATTGCACGATTATCTTTTCCTAATGTCGTGATAATTGGGTTATGGTAACTAAAGTGCGAGATATATACATGAGCACTCAAACCCTTAATAAATCGTGCAAAAACTGCATCGATTGTTGTTCCGTGTCTAGTCGTGCTAATGTTCCTTTCAAGTCCAAGTTGAGGGTGTTTTTGAAAAAGTTTAAAATCTCTACAGATTCTTCCCTCGCGAAATTCACATTAAAATCTCCCGAAATAATCATAGGAATTTCGTGATATTTCTTATTTAATAACCTCGAACCATCCTCTGTGTATGGCAGAAGTACGTGGTGGATAAAATCTTTGATTTCGGTAATCGATTTACCTGGTGAGATATAAATTGACACCATAATAATTTTTTTCCCATTAGCTAGAGAGCATTCTGCAGCACACAAATCCCCAACGGAGGATGAATGACTGGAAACGAATTCATGGTTACGGGCATGAACGTCATTATGTTTTCGACAACATTTTGGAGTCGATTTACATTTTAGTATATACCTACACCGCCCGCTCTAACATTGGGACTCTTGTATTGTACAATGCAATCAAAATTTGTAACATTAACTTGCCTGTCATCGTCAAGCCAAGTTTCGGAAAGCATCAATATGTCCGAATTTTTTTAGAACATTACCTCGTAAATCCGATGCATGTTTGTTAATACTTTGACAATTTAATGAAAATATCGTCATGTCTCCTTTTTCGATATTTTCTAACAGCACTTGATCGAGAGTTTTTAAACGTAGAAAGTCTGTCAAATTCTCTTCTCAATAGAGCTACTGAGGTGTCTTCGCGTCGTCCGTGATGAAATAAAACTTGATTTTCTGCAGGCACAATAAAGAGATCTTCAGGACTCGTAACTCTTGATAAAGCTACATAAACCAAGGATTGCGAATGTTTCTTGCTATATGTATACACAACACTATCGTATGTTCCTCCTTGCGACTTGTGAATAGTCATTGCGCATGCTGGCTTAAGTGGAAAATGGTTTCTCTTTGCTTGGATTCTACTGTGTGATTTAGTTCTGTATAATGGAAAGGTTGCTGACCTACGACTTATCGGAGTTGCGTCATTACTTATACCTAGCCGAGTAGCATATTGAGCTGTTTTACAACGTGTCCGTCTTCCTTCATCTTTTGGAAAAATTAGCCAAAGTCTGATAATTTTGTGGCTTTGATCATCTAACTCAACATAGACCAATTTTCCGACTGCTCCATTCGCTAATCCGTCTGTTTCATCGATATTCGTTGTAATTAAACATGGTTTATTCAAAGCAAAAACGATCTGGTACGGCAGGCCACCAGTATCAATTGATGACAGTTGATGTAGTTTGAGTCTTGCATCTCGTTCTTTTTAAAAATCATTACCACAACCGATTATTTCGTCATCAGCAATAGAATCTTTCTTATTCTCACATGAGTTCAATACAGAAAGGTTGTAAGTATCGGCAGAATAATTATCATAGAATAGTCGAACTCCATTGGGACAAAGATTATTGGCATCCTCATTCGTAAAAAACCTTGATTCAATGAATTCCAGTTGTTGCCTGGTCAAAATTTCACCATTTCCACTTTTCGTTAAGGGGTTATATACCTTTTTCACCAGAGAAATACAGGGTTTTTATTTATTTTTTTTTAGCATGTTACCATTGTTTTATTTAAATTCAATAAAAATTTTATCAAAGTACGTGTCCTTAACTTAATTCGTATAAAATTTCGAGTGAAAATTTTGAGAATTGTGGAAGTTATAGTCCTTGCCGCAGAAGTCCTTTTTAAGTAGTG